AATTCCTGTTTGGGGCGCATGGTGTAGATCGATTTGGCCCGCTACATCGGTGGCCTTCCTATTGTGCTACGTTCCGTTGCGAGAGTGTTTCGATGTTTTGAGTGACGCGATCGCTTTTTTCCAGGGACACATGTGATGAAGGCGCTCTTCTGCTTGACGTTGGTATTCATTGTTGATTGTTCAACTACGGGAAAAACCATAAAAGTACCCGACTCTGATCCGACGCTTCAAGTGGGTTGTCGTTCTCAAGTTACCTTACTGCTCGTTAAATTTCAATACATACTATTCTTAGCTTCTGCATTTTCTTTACTTTATATGTCTATGAAACGACGTAATAGCTACTTCTATTCTCCTTCGTCCACAAAAGACAAGAAGGTTGTGAGTGACAAATTTACCCGGCGACATTCATGCTATTCACGCTTAGCACGCGCACGGAACAGGGAGCAAATCCCGGGTGGGCTTCCCGCTCAGGCTAACTGAGTCTTTTATTCTCTGCTGACGGTAAATTGGTACCAGATTCGTCCAGGGAGGATAGGAACACTGCTGCTTCGCATCTAGTAAGTCGATTCTGAAAGGAACTAGAATGCGTGCCTCATTCCAAAAGGGGATGGGTTAATGGCGGAAACTTTATCTTCTTGGGTTAATGGCGGAAACTTTATCTTCTATCATTTTATTCATGGTATTGGGTTAGAAAGCAACTATTCTTCCAAATTAATTTTCGCTCTTTCAAGCCCTAGGTCTGACCTGTCGTGGAGTACGGCGCGCCCATTTTCAACGCCCACAAGGTGAAAATGATTTTAGCGGATGAGAGTTTCGAAACCTCTTTGCAAGGGAATGGTCAGAGTTTTGGGTCTGGGTTTTACTTGATGCTCAGGAATTTGGGATTTCTTTATGAAGGAACACCTCCTAGTACGGAAATTCCAAGCTGCAATTTTTTTACTTTGAAAATAGAATACTCGAGCTTATACTTTTTTACGAAACCTTGTGGCAAGGCGGTCCTGATGCTGCAGCCACAGTGTACCTCATTGGTTGGGGATTTCGGTCGAGTTGGTACGACCACAATTCCGATTTTTTCAAGGGGGTTAGTACGACCCCCTACTTTCCTCCTCACCAACTTAGGGGAGGAGGAAGGGGGGGGGGTATGTAGCACATGTGAATTAGGAAAACCACGAGGAAAACCCGACTACCTCTTTATAGCATCCCTGAGACAAGAAAAATCAACAACCAAAAAAATTTCCCACACCAAATATAACAATAATTTACCCCTCCCCCTCCCTAAGCGACCAAATACGCCCCCTCCTCTCTTGTTGGGGAATCCCCAACGATCATGTGCCCTGTGATCAGCTCTGCGGGCTGCGGCCTTGAGTGACCAGGTGAAGGCCTTTAAAACTGGCGCTAAACGTAATTCATGGTTTCACTTCATGGTTTTCATGGTTTACATGCAGAGCCGGTAGTGATTATTTTAAAGTTGAGAGAAAGAGGTCGTTTCCTCTCTGTGTCGAGGCTTTTAGGGCTACGGTGCAGCGTAACTTGCTTCCGTAGAGGCTTTACCCTTACTCATTCCCGGTTGTTTTTCATTTCGTCACTTGTGCCTTTTGCTCTTTGTTAGTCGTTTTTGAGAAGATAGGACGACAGCTTCCAAGAAGTGATATACACGGCAGGACGGGAACACTTTTGGTGGGTGACAGAAGGTGATAGCACCTGATAAGATTCGATAAGGGGCCTTAGAAGGGGAGGGTGACCGAGCCATAGTGCGGGACACAGTAACAGTGGGACATTGGTTCCAAGGTATGATATAGGACGTGGGACAGGAACATTATTGATGGGTGACAGGGAATGATATCAGCTGATAAGATCCGATAAGAGGCGTCAGGAGGGGAGGGTCACCATACTAATGACGCGGGACACAGCATCAGCTAGGCGTTGATTTCAGAAAATGATATAGAGTGGGAGATGGGACATCGGCGGCAGGTGACAGGAGTGATAACAGCTGATAGGGGCTGATAAGGAACGTTGCCATTGTTGTTCAGTCAAATTGCTTTACACTACCAAATTATAGAGTTTTAGTGATAGGGACATTGATGACGGGTGACAATCTTATCAATTGATAAGAAAGGATAAGGGCCATTATCATTACATCTCTTATCACTATACTGCTGAGTATTGAGGGCTTGGTGCGCACTCTTTCCCCCTGCCATCACCCATCACTTCTCTGATAGCACTAGAAAATGAACTCATCCCACTATCCTACAATATAATGTAAATAGAACCGAAAAACCTGTTCAGTGGCACTTCATGCGTTCAATAGCTCTTTTTACCTTTAAACTTTCAATTACTGATGAGGAAGAGTACTAATTATAGAACCTACTAATAATTATACTTCAGCGAGCGGATTGCATGCTAATGAAAAGGGAAACGTTCATCGGTAGGCATTTCGGTGCAGTGATGGAAACGAAATCTGTTCTTTCATTGAGGATACACATTGCTATTGGCGCTGTATTGGCCAACTACACATTGTATCTATTCTACAGATTTATGTATTGTATGGGCGTTATGGCGCGGACCACACCCCTGCAAATAGAAGCGTGTGCTAAGTAGTGCAGGATCCTAAGCCTTGCTCTATCTGTTACGATTCGATCACTACAGCGCCGTATGAGCAGCCCACTACGAAAAAGTTCCGTTAAAATTATGGAGCGCCTGGCGAAGCCAGGCCAGCTCGGCGAAGCCGAGCTAAAGAGAAGGGGAGAGCTCGGCGTCAGCCGACTGCTAAATAAATAAATGGCCTAACCGTGAGGGCTAGTGCAGCACAAAATAAGGCATCAGTTTGATCTTGGCCCGGGCCTTCGTCATGAAACATTTTTCGCCCATGTAACGAGTTACTTCGGAAAACAACGAGGAGTCGGGATGAGCAGTGTCTATGCCATATGAGCGCTGAGGAAATAACATAGAGCTGTTTTGCATGAACTTTGGCTTGACTTTTTCTGTAAGGTTCCGTTTTGCACAGTCATGTTGGAAGGCGATTGCGCAGCCTGATCTTTTCTCTGATCGATCTCAGTACTCGCTTCAGCAAAATTCACTCAAAAGTTTCACAAACTGCAACCCCCTCACGCTGTTTAGTTCCTCACCTGAGTGCTCTCATATTGCTGCGTCGGATTAGAATACAACTGCAGCTGATCCTGGGCTTCTCTAATTTTTTAATATTTATCCGTTTGGCAAGTGATGTCGGCAGAGATAGCGTGCGTCACAGAATTCGAGACGTGGGGTGGTATGTGACCTGATGGTAGGAGGGGGCCGTCCTGCACAGGTGCCAGTAGTGACCAGAATAGTGTCGCTCCTGGTAGTGGAAGACTGCCATCACTACTATACATATCTCGCCATGAAGCGTACTATTTCTGCTCCTGCTTTCTGATTGAGCTCCTTGCAAGTTAATCGATGACATGTTATTATACTGTAAATGAAGCTCCTTGCAAGTTAATCGATGACATGTTATTATACTGTAAATGAAGCTGCTCCGTAGCTGTGCGTCTCACTTTAGCCACACATCACGGGAACTTACCAGCTAGCTCAGAATATTGTTTATCGAACCAGTTTACATTCAAATATCGTTACTATTCTGAATGGTGGTCTTACGAATTACGGGGGGGGGGCTGAATCAACACCGGGTTCTTCAGTTCCTACTCAACTAACAGGGAGATTGCCTTGGAGAGCATTTCTAGGCTTTAAACAACGTCGTGGAAAAGCTCCACGCTGAGAAAATTTGTCTGCACCGGGCTTACTTTGAAATGGTGGACTTACTGCAATCCCTGCGGGTTGAAACACTTAAATCTCAAGCCTTATTCGGTACTTGCTAATGGTTTTCTCTGAATGAAGTTATTCGAAGGTTGAAGACTATTTAGTTGTTAGAAACTCGCATTCCAGACTACTGTTCTGCTACGATTTTGAGCAGAAGCAGCACTCACACCATCTATATGACTGTTCTGACGTAGTTTGTAAGTCCAGGAAGGTCGCAGAATCTTTCTAGCGAATATGAATTCCACTTACTAAGAATTGTTTCTGGAGAAAGGTGTTTCATTTTGGAGAAGCATGAGACCTCAGTGATGAATCATAAGACGTTTAAGACAAACTGTGCACTCATTTCTGGGAACGATCTTTCCATGTGCAAGGTGATGGGTTCGCAGCTGCAACAGCGTGGCACTTTTCCCGCTCAGAACTGTACGAGAACGGGGCTGTAGGGTAGTGACACCCACTACCTGCGGGCTTCCGACTCCTCCCGCGCTAAGCTCAAGGTGCACCACTTGACACGGTACGAGCCCATTCACCGCACACATATTGAGACCAGGGTTTTCATTGAGGGATGAGGAGGGGAGGCAAGAGAGTTCTACAGACACGTTCTTCGGGGTGAGGTTCCTCTGACGACCTTCGTTCTGCGACATGCTCGACCCTGAAAGTAGTTCCGCGACGGTTATGAGTCACATAGTTGCTCTTTTATGTTCACTTTATTGTCATTGTTTCTAACATGGAGACAACCTGAAATACTCGAAGTGTCTTACTATTGCGTTACTATTCAGTGTGAAGTGTTTACGCAATACTTACAAGAACAACGATTGCGGGAAACCGGGTTGAAGGGGAGGGCACACCGAGTTATTTGCCATTTGTATGCTGGTTTGGAAAACATAGCAACGGCCGTTTTGGCCTGAAAATTAGCTGGTTCCAGTTGAGCATCGAAGTTGGACATGTCCATAAACAGCTCTGGAGGATGAACGGAGCAGTTGTGAAATCAGCATCAAGCTCCCTGGTCGACTGTAAAGAGCTCTTGAAAGGGACTTGTCTTGGACATATGGCTATCCACACGAATCTCTGTACTGTGCGCAGACACCAGTGCAGAGATTCGTGTGGATAGCCAAAAATAGAGCAAGACGTGACATTTTTGACAGTTTCTCAATATTTATTTATTTGAAAAGGCGGCGGTGTAGTGGCAAGCGGCCCGCTTACCAAGCGCGCGGTCAGGGGTCAAATCTCGGATCAACTCCCGCCCGAGGCCAACCAAGCCTTGTATCTTACGGGGTGAATTGGTACCAAATTCGTCTGGAAGGAAAAGAACACTGGCTTGTACATCGGCTCGCCCCCACGATTCATTCTATAGGACGGGGCGCTTTCAGCACGCCACTACGATTCTGAATGGAATCAGAATGCATGCCATGTACCAAAAAGGAATTGATCAACGACGACGATTTTATCCTTTCATCTTTTTAATCTGACAATTAAAAGATTAATATTCACCAATATAACGTAATAATATCACCCCATATAATATAACTTCGCTTCGTTTGTTTTATTTGAGTTGTTTGTTTGTGAGTTTGTCTGTCCGAAATTCGCTTCGCGCCGTTCGATGTAGAAGACTTGGGGAGGTGGCCGCTCAATGGTGGGATGGGCAAGCGGACAAGAAATAAAAAGACCAACACTTGACCTATTGCAAGCCCCGCCACAGTGGCGGGGCCACTCCGCCGAAGTTGGGCTCCGCAGAAAAGTAATCATAATTCGCTTCGGAAGCAGCGTAAAGATGGGGAAAAAAGGGATTAAGGTTAGTAAGGAGTCGCCAGACTAACTGTGGAAGACACGTCCAAAATGGGCGGGGCGTACTCATGGTGGGCGGTGCTTCTCGCAAAATTCAGTAACCCTGTTCGCGAGAGTGTTTGGAAGTCGCAAAAAACTCAGTGTAGAATGTAAATATCTGGCGAATATAGGGCACGCTCAAAGTGTGTGAGACCCGCCCACAGTGGGCGGAGCTTGCCCTTAATCGCAGGGTAATCATTTCAAAAGTTTGTAGCTCGGTTCCAGAACACTCCAGACACCGGAAAAAAGTGGTCTAAGGTCAGCAGAGGGTCGCCGGTGGGGATTGTGGGGCAAAAACATTGTGGGCGGAGCCTGCTGCGAGGTGGGCGGAGCCAGACAAAAAGGTCTGTAAAACGGTCCCAGAGCACTCCGAAGACCGGAATAAAGTGGATTAAGGTCAGCAGAGGGTCGTCGGTGAAGATTGTGGGGCACAAAAATTGGGGGCGGAGCCAGCCCGAGGTGGGCGGAGTCAGACAAAAGATCGGCAAAACGGTCCCAGAGCACTCCGAAGACCGGAAAAAGTGGATTAAGGTCAGCAGAGGGTCGTCGGTGAAGATTGTGGGGCACAAAATTGGGGGCGGAGCCAGCCCGAGGTGGGCGGAGCCAGACGAAAGTTCTCTAAAACTGTCCCAGAGCACTTCAAAGACCGAAAAGAAAACGTGGATTAAGGTCAGCAGAGGGTCGAGGATTGTGGGGCACAACAAAAGGGGGCGGAGCCTGCTTCGAAGTGGGGCGGAGCCAGACAAAAATTCTGTAGAACGGTTCCAGAACACTTCAGACACCGGAAAAAAGTGGAGTACAGAAAAAAGGCGGATATCAGTTGAGTGTAGAAATATGTGAAAGAAAATACGCGCGGCGAAGCCGCGCCCGCCCGGCGCAGCCGGGCCGTATCAGAAGGAGGCACGCCGGCGTCAGCCGGCGAGCCGACTGCGTGCTTATATATGCAGCTGCGAAAAAAAACTTGGAACAAGCCACAAAATCGCGTTTCAAACAGTCCTGAAGCTCTTATTCAACAGCAAAACACTGGGAAGGTAGCAATAATTCAACAGCGAAAAAAACTGTTCACTGCCTCTGATTGGTTTGCTTGCGCAGATGCAGGAGCCTTATGATCCGTGGAATCGACTCCGCAGGAGCTTCAGGGGTAACCACAGATATTCAACTCCAAATCCTTAAAATGCATGGAAGTGTTCACTCGCGTTGGTTGCCTTCTTCCCCTAGACTCATGCTTCAGAAGATCTCAAAGATGCCTGATGGGGCTGAGGTGAAGGCTTTTACTCGGTCATTATGTAATCCGGATGCTGGCCTTGGATTGATTAGACGCTAGCATCTAACCCTACTTTTTCTGTTTGCTTAGGGTCGTTTTTCACATGTCAAGGGAAATCAAAAAATAATTCGATACTTGTTTCAAGTTTTTTTTTCGCATGTTGTCGCAGGGCTCTGATGGTGCAGTAATAAGTTGCGCCGCTTTCGGCGTGGTTGTAGTTAGATCTCAGCATGGCTCTTACTTGGCCATTCAAGCCTTCCTTTCCTTCCTGGCCGACGATTTGTGGCGACACTTTTGTGGGGGTAAAAACACCGCCTGTAAAATCCGTCCAGCTTTTGCATGATCATTGTTATAGATCGGTCTTCTCGAATGCTGTCACTGTTCCTGAGTTAGAAGCGAAGTGCGTGCCGCGAAAAGAAATCGGCCAGCTTTAATCAGCTCTACTCTTAGGTCTTCCTGAGTACAGCAAAATTTCCATCAGCACCCTGAGTTCTTTAAAATAAATTGAAGAGTTCTTTAAATTGAACCATCGTGCTTGGTGATGATGAGGGATAAAGTTTCTTGTCTCATTGGCTTTGTGGTAGTCGAGGAATTTGGTTTTTGTTCTGCCGGCAAGTTCCTACAGCTACGGAAAATCGCAGGGGTTAGTGCCACAGACAATCGTTTCGCGCGCAGTCAGCGTAGTGTGCGACGTGTATGACAAAATTAAGCATAAGTGTCTACCATGACCTTGTCTACATGAAATCGATGCTCCAGTCGAAAGTAGTGGCAGTTAAAGAAACGTCGCGACCATCGCCGCGCGCGGCGGAGCGGCTATGTACGATTCTTTTGTCAGTCTCTTCGGCTCGCAGTCCTCTTTTCTTACCAGAGCGTCTCAACACTAGGCACACCCCACCACCAACGTGGTAGCGGCGTGCCACGTCGCTTAAATCTCCACCATTTTTATCCAGCAGCGACTTCAACCAAATTTTTTTTCGCTTACATACTTTTATACACACCTTATCTGTTACAGCAAAATTTGCGTGCTTAACCTAGAAATGTAAAAATCACCCCACACAGTTACGATTTGTTCCAATTTTTTTTGATACCCAGTGTACTCTGTCAAAAAAATCAATTATCATCTTTCTTGGGGTATAACGAAAGTGCTGAATTTTTAAGGAATTAATCTATAGGAGTGCTGTTCCGCGATCGAACCAAGAAATTCATGATAAAGTGTGGTGGGTGCCCTCAGGAGGGAACTACAAGGTTTGTTTTCAACTCTATATCCTTCAAGCCTTCCGTTACTTCTCCTGTTTCATTCAGGCTTCAAAAGTCACCGTGATCACCTCTGGAAAAGCATACACCACATACTCCTTTCAATATGTTCTACAGAAAAGCAATTGTGACTTATACGTACGTTTCCATTTTCTTACTTACATCGGAAAGTGCTTTCAAGAATTTTCTTGTTTTGGGAAACCGAGCTTCTTCTTTTTTGGTGCCACGGTACCTACCCCCGTGCATCTCACCATTTGTAGGAGTCGTCTACAACACAGGGACGTCAAGTGATGCCACGAATTCAAACACTGTACACCATTTTCACTTTAAATTCACCACTTTTCAAACCAAATTCACCACTTTTCAAATCAAATTCACCACTCTTTTTAGACCGGGCAGTTCACCAACCAGATCACGCCAGACACCACTGCGAGCCCGCCTCGACGGTCACGCCTACTTGTCAGCGCGGACATAGATTTTCAACACATCGACACATGGCCGACTCCGCCCATTCTTTAAAGGGTTTGTTGCGAACTTCGAAATTTCATAACTTTTTCAACTTTTTAATTTCACATCCACTCTTTGCACAACGAAGATACTCGTACCCGCGCATTTATGCACTGGCAATTTAGGCTCCGCCCGGCCACGCCCACTTGCTTTTTGCGGAATTTTGATATTTTTCAAAATTTTTGCATTTTTGGACTGCTCCGTGAAGCCCCGCCCACTGTGAGAGGCTCCGCCCACTTTGAAGAAGCCCCGCCCACTTTTCAAAAATGGTGCAAATCGGCAGTATAGAGTCTTGGCTTGCATGCTAGGGTCTCGTCCGTCACTCGGAACAAACTTTGCCTGATTTATTTGTTCCGAGTGACGGACGAGACCCTAGCATGCAAGCCAAGGCTCTATACTGCCGATTTGCACCATTTTTGAAAAGTGGGCGGGGCTTCTTCAAAGTGGGCGGAGCAAAAAGCAAGTGGGCGTGGTGCTGCCTAAATTG